GCCCAAGTCCTTGGGTCCCTGCACCCACATGGGAGACCAGGAAGAAGCACCTGGCTCCTGGCTTTGGATCAGTGTAGCTTTGGCTGTTGCAGCCATTTGGGGAGTGAACCAATGGATGGAAGACCCTTCTCTCTGTCTCTCCCTCTATCAGTAACTCTACCTCTCAAATAAATAAATAAAATCTTTTTAAAAAAAGTTCCTGTTATCTGGGAAGTTGTGTACAGCTATCAAGGAACAATTACAAGGCATATTAAAAGGCAAAAATCAGTTTGAAGAGGCAGAATCAAATGTGACATGAATGTTCAAACTATCAGGCGGAGAATTTAAAAATATGTTAAGGGTTCAGCATAAAATACAACAGATAGGCAGGCAAGCCAAGTGTTGGAAAATTTTAGAACCAAAAATACAGATGAAAAAACAGTGTACAGGAATGAAGTATGCCTTTGATAGGCTTATTATAAGATTGAAAACAACTGAATCAAGAGTTTCCAATATTCAGTACATATCAATAAACCTCCATTTGAAGAACTATCTTTCTGTTGTGATAACATGTTTGAAAAGGGCTGCAGACTCAGTAATGGCTCTCCCATATTTCTCCAATTCATATGATTTCTATCCAGTGTGGCTTTGCATGATTATTAAGGCTTTTTGACAATCTTAGCATTTTTTCATTTTTCTTACCATATTCATATGCTAGGGCTGCCATAACAAAATACCACAGAATAGGTGGCTTAAGCAACAGAAATTTATTTGCTCACATTTCTGGAGACTAAAGTCGAAGATCAAGGTTCCAGGAGGGTTACTTTCCTCTTCCTTAATGGCAGGATCTAATCCAGTCCTCTTTGTATACAGGCATCCTGTTTCTCTACCATGTCCTTTTTCAATAGAGACACCAGTTAAGAGCTCTACCCTCACAGACTCATTTTACTTAAATAATTCTGACAGAATTTCTCTCTATAATTTCATGTTTTCAAAATGATTTGGGATACATGAAGGCTTTCCTGCACTGAATACACCCAAAGAGTTTCTCACGAGTGAGTTCTTTCATGTCTTCGAAGTGAACGGGGATGACTGTAAGCTTTTGCACATTGTTGACATTTATAGGGTTTTTCTTCAGTATGAGTTCTTTGGTGAATTCTGAAAGAACTGGAACAAATGAAAGATTTGCCACACTCCTTACATTCATAGGGTTTCTCTCCAGTGTGAGTTCTTTCGTGAATCTGAAATGAACTGGAATGACTGAAGGCTTTCCCACACTGTTTACATTCATAGGGTTTTTCTCCAGTGTGGATTCGCATGTGAATTTTAAGGTGGGTAGAATAGTTAAAAGCCTTCCCACATTCCTTACATGAGTAGGACTTTTGGGCACTGTGTATTCGCATATGATTATTAAGACACGAGGGATACCCAAACACTTTCCCACATATCTTACACTCGCATGCCTTCTCTTCAGTGTGAGTTCTCAAATGTCCACTGAGATTTGAAGAAATGGCAAAGGCTTTCCCACATTTGACACATATGAAAGGCTTCTCTCCAGTGTGAGTTCTTATATGTTGAATAAGGCGTGAAGATGTAAGGAAGGCTTTCCCACACTCCTTACATTCATAGGGTTTGTCTCCACTGTGAGATCGTACATGTATACTAAGACCTGAGTGTTGGGTGAAGGCTTTCCCACACTCCTTGCACACATAGGGTTTCTCTCCGGTATGAGTTCTCCCATGTATCTGAAAGGAATTGGAGTAATTAAAGGCTTTCCCACATTCTTTACATTCATAGGGTTTCTCACCAGTGTGGATCCGCATATGAATATTAAGGTATGCAGGATATCTATAGCCTTTTCCACATTCCTTACATCTATAGGGCTTTTTTGCATTGAGGGTCTCTATAAGCACAGCAAGGCTTGTGGAATCTATAAAACCTCCTCCATGGTCCTTCCATTCATAGAGTTTCTCTCCATTGTGAATTCTCCTTTGTGCCTGAAGGTATGACTGATTAACAAAGGATCTCCTATAGTCACTGTATTCAAAGGACTTCTCTTGTGTGCTAGTTCTCCGGTACGTAGTATTTGGTGTCATGCAGAAGATTTCTCTGCTCTGATTAAAATCAGAAAGCTTTTCATCACTAGAGGCTTTCTTTTGCAGAATATGGAAGTCCTTTCCATACTGATTACAGTCATAAGTGTTCTCTGTACTTTGCATTTTCATGTGAGTCTTAAGAAGTGAGCGTTCATGGAAGATATCTCCAGGTTGCTTCCAATCATATAGTACCCTTCCATTGTGGCTCCCTGTCTGTTGATGAAAAGATTAATGATTATTAAAGGATTTTTTTGAAAAATATTAATAGAATCCATCTGAAAATGTTAATGTATTATTTTTGTAATTTTTATTACATTATACAGTTCCTGCTCTGTGGACTTCTTTCAAGTGGTATGATTGAACACTTATTTCAGAATGCTATCCCATCTATTCTAATCTTAAAAATATCTCTAGTTACAAGAAATTATTTCAAAAACTAAATGCCTAGTTACATACTTGGAAATGGGCACTCCAGCAACAAGTCTTGCTGGAGGTTTGGGGCATCCCCAAATTCGTCATATTCAGAGTACCTCTCCAGAGACATCATTCCCTCTTATGTGGATGAGATAACTCTCATATAAGTCTTATTTTTGCTGATTTTTCTATTATAATTTATGATTTTCTTTGATGGTAAAAAATTAAAAATGTATTTTCTTATTCTTACTATTTGTATCCCATTGGATATGTTCTGCCTCAAAAAATCCTGCTCAAGTGATGACCAGTTGGCTTCAAGTTGCATTTCCCATCCTGTAGTAAAACAGAAAAACAAATATAAGGGTTTGGAGAAAGAAATAGAAGACTGAAGGAGTTAAAAGCTATAAGGCAGTGACCATATAAATAGGATCAAGTGTCTGCTAATAATAGTAGATAGAATTAAAAAGGAGAGAATGTTCCAACATGAGAAGCAGACTCAGAGAATGGCAATCACTTTAAGTAACTTTCTACCTCAGAATCAGCCCTTAAGGCTTCATGAGATCATGAAATGCTCTCACGCCCCTGAGAGCATTTCAGGCATGGAAAGCCAAGATACTGGGGCAAGAAATGTTCTACATGAAGGATCTTTGTGAATGAGATCCCAATGGAAAGAAGTGGACATCAAAGAAGGATGTACTTTTCTCTAAAGGGAGGAGAGAACTTCCACTTTGCTTACGGCCTTGTCCAAATACTGACGGAATTTGTGGACTCAAAAGGCTTCCACAGCCTAGGCAGCTTATGTCAAGAGCCTCAGGTGATCACTGACGTCATATATGAGTGTTAATTATTATATTAACAACAGGAGTCACTGTACACTAACTCCCCATGCAGGACCTCTGTCCTCAATGAGTTGTATTATGAGAGTTAACTGTAAAACTAGTTCTCAAATTGTGTGTGTGTGTGCACGCACAAATTGTTGAAATCTTTACTTAGTATAGAGGTGGTCTTCTGTTTATAAAGTTAATTGAAAATGAATCTTAATGGAGAATGGGACTGGAAAGAGGAGAGGGAGGAGGAGGAGGGGTGGGAGCATGGCTGGGAGGGCAGGTATTGTGGGAAGAATAACTATATTCCTGAAGTTGTATTTATGAAATTTATATTCCTTAAAAAATAAATTAAAAAAACTATAAGGCACAATTGTATATGTTTTCAAATTAAACACAGTAAGGCAAAGATGTATGACCATGTCAAAAATTTGGTAAAGGTAAGGACACTGGATCAAAATTTCAGTTCATGACAAACTGATTCTATGAAAATTACAGCAGATGACAAACAGAAAAAGAATATCATGAAAAGAAGTATCCACAAAGAGAGTACAACTGAAAACAATAAACTTAGAGACAAGTTCAAATATAAGTAACATAAAAGTATTGGAAGTTGAGGCCGGCGCCGTGGCTCAATAGGCTAATCCTCCACCTTGCGGCGCCGGCACACCGGGTTCTAGTCCCGGTTGGGGCGCCGGATTCTGTCCGGTTGCCCTCTTCCAGGCCAGCTCTCTGCTATGGCCAGGGAGTGCAGTGGAGGATGGCCCAGGTGCTTGGGCCCTGCACCCCATGGGAGACCAGGAAAAGCACCTGGCTCCTGGCTCCTGCCAGGATCAGCGCGGTGCGCCGGCTGCAGCGGCAGCCATTGGAGGGTGAACCAGCGGCAAAAGGAAGACCTTTCTCTCTCTGTCTCTCTCTCTCACTGTCCACTCTGCCTGTCAAAAAAAAAAAAAAAAAAAAAAGTATTGGAAGTTGAAGATTTCCTAACCTCTGAGAAAAATGCCCTCAATCTTCTGAAAGCAAGTACATCTTCAAAAGATTCCTCATAGTTGCAAATATATCAGCTTCTCATTAGGGTTATTTTTCATGAATACTCACCTTGGAGCATATCTCTTTGCACTGTCTTCAACTCTTCTTGTTCCAACCAAGAGATCAAATCAGGTTTGATGAGCTGACATCCTATACACAGGGAAGTATACATTACTGGAAAAGCATCAAGCAAGAGATGACAAGGCTTCCTGTATTCAGGAACTATATTCTAGTGAAAGGAGTAAAATTATTTCCAAAGGGCTAAAAATGAAAAATCAACTGTATACCAGGAATGGTTGGTTGTCTATGTCCCCTAAAACCCAAATTCAGTCTTATATACATACATACAAATCACTAAAACTTTATTTTTATTCATATTGGAAATAAAGCACAAAAAAAAGAGAGACTTCGTTCCCTAGGGAAATGACAACACTGGTGATTTTTAAACATTATTGTGCATCAGAGTCATCTAGAAGACTTGTTGACTCACAGAAGACTGGGCTTCAACTCCAGGTTTCTGATTTAGTACATCAAGATAGAGACAAAATGTACATTTCTGGGGCTGATGCTGTGGTGTAGCAGGTAAAGCCACCACATGCAGTGCCGGCATCCCATATGAGCACTGGTTTGAGTTCTGGCTGCTCTACTTCTTATCCAGCTCTCTGCTATGGCCTGGGAAAGCAGTAGAAGATGGACCAAGTCCTTGGGCCCTTGCACCCACATGGAAGATCTGGAAGAAGCTCCAGGCTCCTGGCTTCGGATTGGCCCAACTCCAGCTGTTGCAGCCAACTGGATAGTGAACCAGTGGATGGAAGACACCCCCCCCCTTTCCTCTTATCTGCCTCTCTGTAACTCTACCTTTCAAATAAAATAAATCTTTTTTAAAAATGTGCATTTCTAAGAGACTGGCAGTGTTATTGATCTTGGATATTTTGAAAGCCAATACAGTAAACTAACACCTATTTAGGTCAGAGACTATGTCTTCTGCTATTTTCTGCTCTATTCAGAGTTGACACCACTGATCTTGCAGTACAGTTGAGTTAATAACATAGATTAACTGTACAACAGGTTACAAGGAAAGAGGGCAGTCTTACCTACTGTGGCCAGGTTCTTGTAGTTCTCTAGCATCACATCACTGTACAGGTTTCTCTGAGTCGGGTCCAGTAAAGTCCATTCTTCCTGAGTGAAGTCTACAGCCACATCATCAAAGCTCACCAACTCCTAAACCATCACACACATGCTAGTGTGAGCCATAGTGATGCCAGCTCCACCAGTGTTCAGGGGAGAATGAAGACAGAGAATGCTAACACAGGGCTTCAAGGTCTCCAATTCTTTACACCAGGATTCAACTGCTCTAGCAACTCCTCTGTTTAAACTCATTCATTATCTTGTTGAGCCATATGGCACTTTCTGGATAAGAATTTACCTTAGTGTGACCAGATTAATATTTATTTCCCGGGCTGGCGCCGTGGCTCAATAGGCTAATCCTCTGCCTTGCGGCGCCGGCACACCGGGTTCTAGTCCCGGTCAGGGCGCCGGATTCTGTCCCGGTTGCCCCTCTTCCAGGCCAGCTCTCTGCTATGGCCCAGGAGTGCAGTGGAGGATGGCCCAAGTCCTTGGGCCCTGCACCCGCATGGGAGATCAGGAAAAGCACCTGGCTCCTGCCTTCGGATCAGCGCGATGCGCCGGCCGCAGCGCGCCGGCCGCAGCGGCCATTGGAAGGTGAACCAACGACAAAAGGAAGACCTTTCTCTCTGTCTCTCTCTCTCTCACACTGTCCACTCTGCCTGTCAAAAAATAAAAAAATATATATATTTATTTCCCTTTGAGTTTACTGTTCAGCATGTTTCAGATACTTGACCAATGCTGCTAAAAAAATAAATTCTTTGGGGAGAAAAATGTCACCTGCCACACCATGTGTCAGAGCAAGCAGCAAAATAAGAAACATGCAGTTGGCATCACGAGGATCAAAATTAATTACTAAGTACTAAAACACTGGGATGACTTTTCAAGTTAACAGTTCACCTACAGTTGAGGCTTAATTCTCTGAGGAAATTCAACTAGGGATTCAGTCCTTGAGTGAGGTTTTATTTGCTTTAAGGAGGTCAGGAAATAAATTTGTCTAGAAGGAAATATGTCTACCTAGTGGATTTAAATATGTCCTTTAGGATAAGAACATACTTTCTTCTGGGGCTGGCACAGTGTACAGCAGGTTAAAGCCCCAGCCTGCAGTGCCAGCATCCCATATGGGCACCTGGTTTGTGTCCTGGCTGCTCCACTTCTGATCCAGCTCCCGCTATGGCCTGGGAAAGCAGTGGAAGATGGCCCAAGTCCTTGGGCCCCTACACCCGCGTGGGAGACCTGGAAGAAGCTCTTGGCTTCAGATCAGCTCAGCTCTGGCCATTGTGGTCATCTGGAGAGTGAACCATCGGATGGAAGACTTACTTTCTCTCTCTCTCTCTCTCTCTCTCTCTCTCTCTCTCTCTCTCTCTAACTCTGTATTTCAAATAATAAAAAAAAAGAATATACTTTCTTCATACCTGATAGAAATCTGTCAGGGAGCCAGCCCCCATCCTTTCTGCCACTGTCTTTTCTTCCTCAAGAGAGACTGTGTCCCTGGAAAGGAGACCTCATGGAGAAGAAAGAGCATAAGAACCTATAACTGATAATTCCCATAGTCACATTTGTAGATGTCATTCCTCCCTAGTGTGAAATCACCGGTGATGCAGAATCATGAAGACATATACACATGCACACGGATGCCATACAATGCCAGCACAGTCCTATTTCACACAGAGCTAGAGAAAGGCATGGTGAGCTGTGCTGCCCAACAGAAAAAGTGCAGTCGTTTAATTTTAAGGATCAGGAAACTTGTACCCAGAGAAATGTGATGTTATCATGGCGATAAAACACGTAAAGGACACCATGCAGTATTTTTCTCAAAGCACACGTAGCAATGGGTTGAATTACAAAAGAGCTCGGTCTGGTTCACTTCAACCCCTCCTAAATGAACAGCAGTGTGATTATCCATGCCCAAACCACTTGATCCTATATTGGTTACAGGGAACCTAGAGTAGCATCTAACAAAAACAGCATCAGCAGGACTTACCACAGGATGCACCAATAGCTGTCATTCTGTAAAGTGAAAATGTGCTTAAACACTCCTTTCACTGATGCCAACACCATTTCAGGGCAGCTTGTGAATCTGGGTGGACAGTGGCAATCTCCATTCCTCTTTATACAGGGTTATTGGGATTCCTGTTAACATCAAATCATTCATCAACACGTGTTGCTTAATTATGAGTCATCAAACACTGGTATGCTCTCTGTAGACAACAAATGTGAAAGCCACTAAAAACTGTATATTCTATAACAGGAACATTGGTCACACGGAAGGCCATTTACTGGGGATGCTGTGTCAGAAATTGCACTTGTGGCCGGCGCCACGGCTCACTAGGCTAATCCTCCGCCTTGCGGTGCCGGCACACCGGGTTCTAGTCCCAGTCAGGGCGCCGGATTATGTCCCGGTTGCCCCTCTTCCAGGCCAGCTCTCTGCTGTGGCCAGGGAGTGCAGTGGAGGATGGCCCAAGTGCTTGGGCCCTGCACCCCATGGGAGACCAGGAGAAACACCTGGCTCCTGCCATGGGATCAGCACAGTGTGCCGGCCGCGGCGGCCATTGGAGGGTGAACCAACGGCAACGGAAGACCTTTCTCTCTGTCTCTCTCTCTCACTATCCACTCTGCCTGTCAAAAAAAAAATTGCACTTGGAGCTTTATAATGTACAAGGTCAATTATCACAACCAGCGTTCATACTAGATATCTCGATTTAATACTGAAAAGACCTAAAGTCAGACATTATTAGTAATAGATTAAAATCCTCTAATTCAGAAGTGGTGAACTATGACAAAAGGCAGATAAGGTTTTTGAAAAAAAAAAAAATGTTGGAAAAATGTAAACAGTGGACAGTGTTAACCAGGTCTTGGTTAGAAACACTGAAATCGATCAGATCTGCACTCTCGCTTCATAGAGGCAGAGGGGTAAAGACAAACCAAATTGTGTTCAATACTGATCTACTTTAGGAGTCTTCTCAGAAAACCAGTTTCTTGTAATTTTTATCAGTTCTGTTCTTTTTATCAAAGTTTGCTTTTTAGCTGTTTTCATTTTGTTCCTATGCTTATATCAGGATTTCCTGTTATTTTTTACCCTGTTGTATTATAAAAAAATAACTTTTTGATTAAAAAAAAGACAATCCAGGGTGGGCATTTCACCTAGCATTTAAGACACTGGTGGAGGGACCAGCACTTCGGTGTAGCAGGTGAAGCCACCACCTGCAATGCTGGCATCCCATATGGGTTCCAATTCGAATCCTGGCTGCTCCATTTCCAATCTATCTCCCTGCTCATGCACCTGGGAAAGCAGAAGAGGATGACCGAAGTGCTTGGGCCCCTGCACCCAAATGGGAGACCCAGAGGAAGCTCTAGGCTCCTAGTTTCAGACCAGCCAGGCTCTGGCGATTGAGGCCATTTGGGGAGTGAACCAGTGGATGGAAGATCGAGCTCTCCCTCTCTCTGTAGCTCTGCTTTTCAAATAAATCAATCTTAAAAAAAAAAAAAGACACCAGTTGAGATACTCATGCCCCATACTGGAATGCCTAGGTTCAACTCAATGCCCAGCTCTGGATCCTGATTCCAGCTTCTTTTTTCTTTTTTTTTTTTTTTTAATTTTTGACAGGCAGAGTGGACAGTGAGAGAGAGAGAGAGGTAGGGAGAAAGAGAGAGAGAAAGGTCTTCCTTTTGCTGTTGGTTCACTCTCCAATGGCCGCCACGGCCAGCGTGCTGTGGCCCGCACACCACGCTGATCCGAAGCCAGGAGCCAGGTGCTTCCCCTGGTCTCTCATGCAGGTGCAGGGCTCAAGCACTTGGGCCATCCTGCACTGCCTTCCCGGGCCACAGCAGAGAGCTGGCCTGGAAGAGGGGCAACCGGAACAGAATCCGGTGTCCCGACCGGGACTAGAACCTGGGGTGCCGGCGCCGCAGGCGGAGGATTAACCTAGTGAGCCGCGCCGCCGGCCTGATTCTAGCTTCTTGTCAGTGCAGACCCTGGCAGGCAAAAGTAGCTGATCCCTGTTACCCATGCAGGAGACTTTAGAGTTCCTGACTCCAAGCTTTGGCCTGGCCCAGGTCTGGCCACTGTGAGTATTTAGGAAGTGAACCAGTGGGTGAGGGCTCTGTTAGCCTCTCAAATATATATATTTTAAAAAATAAGTGACAATTGTTAATCAATCAATCAAAAAATAGTTAATAAATAGTTAATAAAACTGGCCCAATTGCTAGTTACAAAAAAGTATTTGAATGATGACAGTCACAGTTCATTATCAATGAGCCAAATTTACTCTCATAAAAACCCTATATAGGCCACATTTCACAAATTATACTATAACTCTGAAAACATGCGTCTGGATTCCTAGTATACAGGGCCTAGTAGCAGGGTCTTGAATCGGGGATAGACTCACAAATGTGTTCGGTTTGGTAGTATCTGCATAAATTGTGAGTTTTTAAAAGTTAGATATAATCAATGTACATTCAAGTGCAAACATCCGAAGTTCATGGAGGTTTTTTAAAAAACTATTTATTTGAAAGGCAGAGTGACAGAGAGAGAAGAATAGACAGAGAAAGAGAGGAGAGAGAACTTCCATCTGTTGATTCACTTCCCAAATGCCTGCCAACAGCCAGGGCTGGGCCAGGTTGAAACAAGAAGCCAGGAATTCCATCTGGGACACCTATGTGAGTGGCAGGGGGTGAAGTACTTAGGCCATCATCTGCTGGGGCATTAGCAAGCTGGATCACAAATAAAGTAGCAAGGATTCCAAGCAGCACTATGATATGGGACGCAAGCATTCC